TCTAAACACCTTTCCTCCTTAATCAAAGAAATACATGAGTTATGCTACTTACCTCTCTATTGTCCTGATCCTTCTTCCCTTTCAAAACCTAGAAGGCTAGAAGGATCTGTATCTGTAACAACCTTAACTAGCTCACATGAAGTCTTAACAGTCCTGTAAGCAAAACATACTTATAGTTCATGATTTTAATGGCAACTAATGAAGGATCTAATTTTTGGACAATTAACTGTATTTTGCTTCCCATGTGCATTCCAAACCAGAAGTAACAAGAAAATGCTAGCCCAACTACATTTGAGTTCAAAAACTATCAATTAAACGAACAACTAATTAACCAACATTCACTTCATACGAAATACCTCTGATTATATATAGCTATATAAATAAAAATTTAGACAAGCATATTTATAAAACCTTCAATATTAAATATTCCAAACATAATATATATAAAGGCCAGTATTTCCAACAACAAAATTACATTAAACCACTTAGACAGCTAGCTGGCCCTAGAATGACTATCTACTTAACCAAAATCTATACTACATAAACTACTTGCTTAGCTTAATCAGAATCAAACCCAAAAGCTTCAGAATCATCACGAGACACTTCAGGTGAATGATGATGGTACGGGTGGCCAATGTCTTCTTCAGATTCTCCATCATACCACGAATCATATTCTGCCTGCAACCCATCTTCCTCCTCTTCGTTTTCTTCTTCTTCCTATGAGCCCCTCTCCTGATTAATCTGTGGTTGTTGTTGCTCTTGCTGCGCCACACCAACGTTTACCTCACCTATTGCAGGGTGCTCCTTCACTCCTTCAGCATGAACAACAACGGTTGAAGAGATTACATGTTTCACAACAAGCTCTTCATCACTGATTTCCATGTCCGCTTCCCATCCCTCGACACCAACACCTAAAACCTCATTACCATTGCTACACTAACCCCTGCTTTTGGATGATTCCCCTTTGATACCCACAAAGCTTCTCTTTCTGATAGGTTCTTCGTCGCTGTCGTTATCACTGTCAACCTGAATCGGAGAAGCAAAGTTACCACCAATTCTAATCCCCTGATTCTTGTTCTTATCCTCACCAACTGGGATCAAAGGAGCAGAGCTGCTGCCGATTTTAAGCCCCTTATTCTTCTCCTTTTCCCGAGCAACCTCGGCGCACTTTGCAAGTTGTTCATCGATATCTTGCATTTCCTTCGCCAGCTCTGTCAATTTTTGGGTTGCATCAAGACGAGCCTCATCTGCTGCATAATATCGACCCCAAAGATTTTCTTTCCTTCTTTCTAAGAATTTACGATACCATTCTGTAAATGGAGTATTTTCATCGCTTCCAGCCATGAAAGAACTTAACTTTCGAAGTTTAATGGAGGATTAGAAATGCCGAATACAAAAAGCTCTTTCAATTTGCATCAAAAGAAAAAGAGGGTTTTTGGGGATGTGTGATTGATCACTCTCCCTTTTTAATACACCCCAAGCCGTCACTTGACGTCTTTTCGAATGTCTTCATAGCATGCAGAAGAAGAAGGGTCGCCTTGTTTCAGAAAATACACAATGACCGAGGAAACGCTACAGTTTTAAAACTAATATTCTATAATTTTTTTTCGAGCAATAAGCTTGTTATATAGAACTACTACTAAGAGTATCCAAAAATAGAAATCAAGTTTCTTTCACATTTGTTTAATACCGAACCAACTTACACACTCATATTAGTCATATAATAAATTTTTCTCGGAATTTTTGTTTAATACAAAACGTTTACTACATTATAAAAGAATAGTTTTAATTTCAAACAATTAACCTCATACATTAAAACAATAGTTGTTAGCTTATACCCAATTATTTAAATACTGCCGAGCAAAAACTTAGACAAGTGTAAATTAAATACGCGACGTTCCATTTTGAAAATTAGATGAGTACTAAAACTCACATGTAGTAAATTATTAAAATATAAATTTTAATTTTTAAAGTGTCATTTCTTATTTATATTTTACTCAAATGTTACTCTTCAAGCCTTTTTCTACCAAGGTTTATTGACATCACCTACATTTCATTATTGATTGACTTATTTAAGTTGTTTTATTTCTCAGTTATTGAATTAAGCCCACAAAGCCAAGCTCTTGCAACCTTGCCCCTATAAAAGACAAAAAATATCTTATTAGCTACCTTTTCTAATATAAGCCCATTTTATAGATTTAAAGCTAGACTATGGTACGCCCAATTTAACTTATCATTCTATAATTGAGTCATGCAATCATATTTTCTTAATTTGATACAACAACTTTATAAAGTATTACTACATAGATAACAAAAACATTACTAATCTATAAACATCAATAGCATTGTATTTATAGATAAAACAAATGCTTCAACAAATTAATTATGCATTTACAGTAAACACTAAACGAAATCCTGCCAATTCACCAAACGGAGCGCGCGCATCGCACGCGCGGCGTCTCGAAAACTAGTTTTAATAAAAAAAAAGGAATTAAGAACGCATTTGGAGATGACACGTGTCACTTATGGTATATATACATATATGTATATATATGTATATACATATATATATATATATGTATATGTATATGTATATATATATATATGTATATGTATATGTATATGTATATATATATATATATATATATATATATATATATATTTTGATTATGTTTGATTATTTTTTTAGTGTTTTGATAATCATTCTAAAAAATTTCAAATTTGAAAAAAAGTTTTATATTAGAAGAACCATATTCAACATTTTACATATGATTTAAAGATTAGCGTGTTTGTAACATGTAACCGCTTGTAAAAGAACAAAGTAGCTCATAAGACACTAATTGAATAACCCCTATAACACTGACCAGGGGCGAAGCCAAGAATAAAAATCTATGGGCCTAAGAAACGACAAAGTTACCAAAAAAAAAGCAAAAAAAAAACGCTCAAAGTGGGGAATCGAACCTGAGACTTCTCTCTCACCAAGCCATTATGAAAAATTTCAACAAACCAACTGGGCTATCACTAACATCATGATATGTAAGACAAATATTATCTATTTATTAGTTATTCTAGGGGGGATACTATAAATTACATGTATCACCAAGAGCTGTTAATTCGGGTAAATGGGTCGGGTTATTGTGAGTCGGGTCATCTCGGGTCGGGTCAATACGGGTTAATGTTAATAAAATATGCGGGTCGGGTTCGGGTTGGGTCATGATTGAGTCGGGTCACGTTGGGTCATACATCTTATCGGATTTGGGTCGGGTTAGTAAAAGGTCGGGTGAAAAATAGGTCAGGTTAAATTCGGGTCTTTACGGGTTTAAACGAGTTAGGGTCGTTCTCGGGTTCGAGTCAGGTTCGGTTCAAGTCAATTATTTACGGGTTATAATCAAGTCGGGTCATTCTCGGGTTCAGTTCAAGTCAATAATTTGTGGGTTATAATCAAGTCGGGTCATTTCTCGGGTCATTCTCAGGTTCGAGTCGGGTTCGGTTCATTTGGGGAAAAAAACATGTTTCGTCCCTGAAATTCGTCCCTAAAAACATGTTGTGAAACTAACCTCTTAAAATTCAAAGTGAAATATTGAAGGAATAGAGTTAGGGTTCAATTTCCGTTCCAATCATGAGATAACGACCTATACATATTGATTCAATAACAAGTCGGGTTGAATTTGGATCGGGTCAATAACAAGTTGGATTGATTCGGGTCGGGTTTGTAATAGGTCGGGTTGAAATTCAAGTCGGGTTTGTAGCGGGTCGGGTTAAATTCGGGTCGGGTTAGGAATAAGTCGGGTTGAATTCGGGTCGGGTTAGGAACACGTCGGGTTGAATTCGGGTTTTAACGGGTTAAAACGGGTTTGGGTCAATTTCGGTTCAGGTTGGGTTCGATTTAGGTCAATAATTTACGGGTTACATTCGGGTCGGGTCTCAAATACTCGGGTCAACTCGGGTCTAGGGTTGGTTTAATTTCAGGTCGGGTTAGGTCGGGTTTGAGTCACCATTTTTTTCGGGTTCAGACGGGTCAGTTAATAGGTCGGGTTAGGGTCAAATTTCGGGTCGGGTCAGCTTTTGACAGCTCTAGTATCACCAGTTGGGCCACAGTGGGTCGGGCCTCCACCATCCCCCCTTCCCCCGTGGCTCCGCCTTTGACACCGAACCGAGTAACTCCCATGATTACTGGGTATACGGTGTGGCCATCCACATATAAAAAGTTGTGATTATAGTTCAAAAACTATTAACTATCGAAAAACTTCACGGAATTTTTCAAATTTCAAAACTGAAGTTATTGCATAGCCTTATGCTCATTATGTAATGGGCATAAATAGTACAGAGTACAATTAAACACTAATCATTTTATCCAATTTAAGTATAATTTTGTTGGGTAATAAAGCACAAACGTTGGACATCATTGTGGTTTTTTGTTCGTCTGTTGTGCGTGGTTCGTTTTATTGTTGTTGGGTTTATGGTTCTTGTTGTTGCTAGGGTTGTTGTTGCTGGGTTTGTTGTTCTCCTCAATGGGTTTAAATTTACTGTACTTAAAATGGATTGTTGTTGCTGGGTTTGTTACTCAAAGTGTTACTGTGCACAATCCTACTTGGTTATACTTCCCTTCCATACATGATGTAGCAAAACCAAAAGATTCTCTCTTGAGACTCAACGTCTCAGTTCACTTAAAAACTTTGTAAACTCCGTAACTTCTCTCTCCTCAATCCCACTGTCTTTCTAACGCCACCAAGCTCGCCGGCGACCATTTCCCCTCCTATGGTCGCCAGAGAGCTTCCCTAAAGTGCTGTTTTGCCATTATCTCAATTAATTTGGAAAATTGGAAGATTCGTGTGTATTCTTTCGAAGGCATTTCGGCTCGTTGTAAGTCTTTTCAATTAATTTTTTCTAGCTCTTCTTGTCTTTGGTCTGCTGCCTCATGTTCTTGGGTTGTTGCTAGTGTGTTGTGTGGTGTTTGCTTAATAGTTTATTAGATCTTTTGTTTGGGTGATTTTTAAGGGATGGGGGAAAAATCTTTTAGTTTGGGACCTATCATGCTGCACCATTTGGACCATTTGGGGGAGGATGATTTTGATGTTGAGGAAATGTTTACGAAAACCAGCAGCCCAGAAGGGGCTATCTCGTATGTGACTGCTCTTAAGGAAGATGCAAATGCCCTGTTCAAATTGAGAGATTTTAATACTGCCTTTGTGTTGTATAATAAAAGTATCAAATGTTTATGTGTTGTTATGTGTGCCATTAGTGATGATACTCAGTTGTGTGAGGTTAGCCTCGAGTTGAAGGATCTAGCTTTTAGTCTGCATTTGAATATTGCAGCTAGTGCAATTAAGCTCAACAAGTTTAATGATGCAATCACTTCTTGCTCTCTGATTTTGGAGTCAAATAAGAGAAATGTGAAGGCTCTATTTAGAAGAGGAGTAGCATTATAGAAGTTGGGGTCTTAGGATAAGGCTTATGATGATTTTAAATCAGCAAATGAGATTGAACCTAATAACAAGGAAATTGGAAGAGAAATGATAAGATTGAGGAAAGTTATGATAAGGGAACCAAATGCTATTGGTAAGCAGACAAAGGTTGAGGAGAGTATGCATCTTCAAGTGGGTGGAGATCAAAGAAGCCAAGTCAATGAAAAAGTAACAGACTGTGGCTCTAGGCTTGATGGGTTCAAGGTGGAGAAGAATATGTTGGAGTCTGCTGTTCCTAAGCTAGAAGCTTCCAATGATTTGCTAAGTAGTAGCCAGGGGTCTTATATGAAGGATGATGGAGTCCCCATGGATGTTGACAACTTGAATCTTAGGTGTTGTTCGAGCTCTTCAAAGGCTAAGGTGGCTTTTGTCAATCGAAAAAAGCCATCTTCTTGTTTGAAAATTGCCCGTACAGATTTATATAAATTGAGGCAAGGGAAAGAGTTGTGGCTCTACCAACCACATTCTATGTCTTTGATGAAGGTGCGTACCTTCACCCCGAAAAATCATATCATGATGGAGACCCCCCCCACAAACTTAGTTTGAGGGAAGCAGTGGTCTCTCAAATGAGATTCATTGCAATTTTCCTCACTTCCACCAAGAGTAGAAATATCATCACGAGAACTTGTGGATTCCAAATTACCTAAGAGACAAATTGACAACAAAATGTCAAAAGATTTATACATAAAACATAACTACTTCTCTAAATCAAAAAAATATGAATAATGTTTTACTGTCATACCAAAAATAAGATGATCCTCGGAAGATTCCTTTGCAACTTCCCACCTTGTCATTAAAAAAAAAAAAAAAAAAAAAAAAAAAAAAAAAAGCTTATTACGGAGTAAAATTTTTTCAATATATATTAAGAAATTACTCTATAGATAAATAAAACCAAAAATGGTTTAATACCTCTATATTTAAGGATTTGAAGATCTCCTTGTGTGTTGTGAAAAATGAAGCTCAAAGAGCCATCAACAAGAGTATGTTGAAACTCAATTTCATCTAATTTTGTTTTGAAATTTATAACACTTGCATATGCTCTTACACATTTAGGCCACTCTTCAAAAGTTGGACTTTACCACAAAATCGAATTTGGTTTTTCTCATAATCTCGAGTTATTGTTAACCCAGTTTCGGGAACCCCTGGCATATCAATTCGAACATGATAATCTGTCCCAATTTGCTTCTCTTCAAATGCACCTTTCGGCGAATCATCGTCCACCACTTGGAAAGGATGGTTAGGCACTTTAGAAGATAAATACAAAAAACTTATATTAGCATTTTTCCAATACTAGCTTAAATACCGTGCAATGCACAGTTGTAAATTACTTTTAAAAATAAAATTATATAAATTATATAAATAGAATGACTCATGTATTTAAAATATGGTGTATATTATTAATAAAAACCTGAGGAGAAAATATTTAAATTGATAATTTAATACTTTTGGAAAGTAATTATATTTTTATATAAAACAAATATCATAATTTAGATATAATTTTTTATTTATTTTTTATTTTAAGAAGGTATTTTTGGAGGAAAAAATTTTAATGCAATATTGACAAGTGTTTTTTTATTCAATTGAGGAGAAAATATTTAAATTGATAATTTAATACTTTTGGAAAGTAATTATATTTTTATATAAAACAAATATCATAATTTAGATATAATTTTTTATTTATTTTTTATTTTAAGAAGGTATTTTTGGAGGAAAAATTTTTAATGCAATATTGACAAGTGTTTTTTTATTCAATTGAGAGAACCATATATGAAATATTCAAGATTAATCAACAAAAACAAATATTATTATATTAAAGCAATATTCAGTATTCACCTTAATTAATTCCATAATTCCATTCAAAAGAATGTATAGAGCAAAATGAATTACCTGTATTGTCACAGGGACTCTTGCTGATGATATCATGAGACATTCTGATAATACATAGAAAGTAACTAGAATTACAAAATACAAAATTTAAATTGAAAAAAGATGACAAAATAATTAAGCAAAAATTTCATAGTTGAACTCTAACATTAAAAGGTTGTGCAATACATTAAATTAGCAACCAAATTTGATTCATAATTTTAGGGATATTTGATTCAATAATCAAATTAGGATCATAATTTTTTTTTCTTTTGGTTATGATGGTTTCATAATTTTAGAATTTAGAGCAAATAATGCAGATTTTGGAAACCTACACCTTTTATGTTTTTTTTTTTTGAAAACAAATAGAAACAACTAACCTTAGAAGCTGCTTCAATGGGGGATACAAGAACTAGATTCAACGGAGAACGTCAACTGCGCTCTAATGGAGAACGTTGAGTGCGCTTCAATGGAGAAACGTTGGATGCCTTGGAGCCCTATTTAAAAGCAGTTATTAATGGGTTAAATAAATCAAATATATAAATGGGTTTTGATGTATACATAATGGGTTTGAAGTAACCCTATTTTGCCTTAAACAAAAAAAAAAAAACCCTGTTTTAAAAAATACATTTATTTGTATGCAAGTGAACTAGGGAATATTAGAGTGAGGGGTTGCTCAAGTGGTTAGAGTTTCCCTTTCCGATTCCAAGAGATTTTGGGATCGATTCTCACCTCCGCCCTAAAAAGTGAACTAGGGAGTATAATATTACATGCTGTCACATATTAAAAGACGATTTTAGTTGCCATTATTAAATTACTTCATGGTGTCATTTCGGAAAAATATATGGGATCTTATATAATATATAGTAAATAAGTGTGTGTAATATATATGCGCCTTTATAAGGATATATCTATAAAATATAAAATCTTTTTTTTTTGAATAGTATAAAATATAAAATCTCGTAGAGTATATAAAATCTTTTTTTTTTTGGAAAAATATATAAAATCTTGTAGAATATTGAATAAGTAAGTGTATAAATTGCTATATGCAAAATATATGTTTCTTAAATACAAATTATTCTGAAAAAAAAAATATTAAGGATACACCAAGAAATAGCACGTATTATTGTTGATGTGCCTTTTAGTATTTTCCTATTGGGGTAATGCTATACATAGCCCTTAGGGCTATATATAAGCATTGAATTTACTCTTGGAAAATGTATAAAGTTAGGAATTCATGACAAAAACACACGCAAATCGGTGTAATTAGTGTGTTTTTGTCATGATTTTCTAAATTTAAACAATTTTCAAGAGTAAATTAAATGCTTATATGTAGCCCTTAAGGCTATGTATAGCATTTTCCTATTGTTATTGATGTTTAAATAAAAATTGCATCATAGTAGTAATAAATTGAATTAAATTAAAGTACTATGTCTATATATTTGCAATATTATTAATGGTGCTGAAATGTTACGTGGCCTGAGAGCCATTATACTCTCGATGGAGATTAGTCAAGACCCTTTGTCTTTGCCTTTGCCTTTGTCAAAAAAAAAAAAAAAAAAAAAAAACCTTTGTCAAAATATTCGTTTGAATTATGGAAAATTAGGTTAGTTCTCGTGCCATGTACAATAATTTTCAATAATTATTATGAACTATCATTATAATTAGACTTTTATAAACAAAATAAAAACTAAAAATATAGTTGACAAATTTTGATCAAAATAAAGGATTATGGTAGAAGGCCAGGATATGTTCGATATGGTTTTTTTTTTTTTTTTTTTTTTTTTTTGAACGGGAAGTAATAATATCATTAAATAATAGTCATACATCACTAATATGTTAGATATAAAATGAGGTAGAACATTGTCAAAATTATGTTAAGAATGATTTTTTAAAGCTATATAATATCTTAAGTCTTCTATTTTAAGTAATTGTATTATATAAAATTAGATAATTATTTTTGTTTATGATATGTTTATTTATAGAATTATTCGGCAAAAAAAAAAAAAAAAAAAAAAAAAAAAAACCTAAGGTTACGTCCAGAGATAACACGTAGCATTGTTGGTGTCTTTTAAACTTTTAGTATACAGTGATGGTTGTATTCAGTAGATACTCTACTCCATTTTCATTTAAAGAGTTGGGTTCTGAACCTCACTTCTCCTTGTCAATCAAATTATATTATCAACAGTTCTCGACATGAATAGTGCAATTAGATAATCATCTTGAACCTGGGATTGAAAATCGAGAGGAATTTGGTAATGTAATTATCCATACTCCACACATACGAACTGCCAAATTGACCAATGAAACAAATCTGTGTATTTTTACACTGCGCTAATAGAATTTATGTTGCTACAAAAATCGAACCAAGGTTTAAACTTATTGATTTAATGGTTTTTATTTAAGGGTTGTTCTATTTAAGTTAGATTTTTTTTTTTTTCTTTTTTTTTTTTTAGAGCCACGAGGGCAGGGGTGAGAATCGATTCCAAAATCTCCTGAAATCGAGAGGGAAGCTCTAACCACTTGAGTTATTCCTCACTCTCATATTTGTCTTAATTTTTACATTCATAGTATCAAATTTCTATAATTTTAAAATAGTTACAACACAAATATAAGTGATTGAAATTACACATGGTAAACATGGGAATGAGAAGCATTGAAGTTAAAGAAGACAAGTTGTAAATTTATGCACCCACATCCTATGTGGGAATAAGTTTTAGACTTTAAGCCAATCACAAACCTACGTGGAATGAACCCACATCCTTTGTACATTTATGCACAATGCTCTAGCAATTGAGCTAGTAGGCTACTGTTATTTCACTATATAGGGAGAAAAAATAGTTAGAAGTAGCACATACCACTAAGTCATCAGCCCATCACCAATGAAGCAAAATGAGGCAAGGTGACAATGGATTATGATAGATAATAGGTTAATATCATTTTGTTAATATTTTGTCAAGATATATGAAAGTGTAGTTTAATAAATTTCGTATTCTCGTAATTAGGTTTGTAATCAACTATTTATATTCGGTTAATGAAAATTCTCCGACTAAGGAGAGTTACACTATTCTACATGGTACCAAATTCCAATTAGATTTTTT